GGTTTGTGGCAGATTGCCGAACAACAAAGTTTGCGGTGATGGGCTGTGGCGAATTTGTTACAAGTCGTGTAATTTATTCCCTAGAAGTCTGAAGGGTCTGCCTCCGATAATTAGAGGCTCGCCCCCAGCTCCTCCTTTGACTAATAACTCGCCCCGAATTTTCCCTCAAACGCCTCTCATTAAATAAAAATTGAGTCAGTCTTTGCCCCCTTGACGAAGTCACTGAGGGCCTTTTTGAAAACATTTCACACCAAATATATTCTTTCGTGATAAATTCACTTTTTCCCTTATACTTTATCCTTTGATCATTTTTTTAATGACTTAAAAAATGTGCCTATAGGTTAGTAGTAAAAAGTTAGTGGCAGCTATAATTGTTTATTACTCTAATTTATATGGTCAATTTAATATAATTATTTTGGTTTAATAAACAGTTTTACAAACTAATAAGTTACAGCTTTCCAATAGTAATTTTTCACAGGTGCTGTCTAGATCGATATGCCGACTAGATCTTACACACTGTTACCGCCACAAACTCATTATTTTAACTTTTATTCAATTAACTGGTTATACGTTTATGATATTTATTATGGATCAGTACACAATGAGTAAAAGCGTACGACAAATGTTTTGACTGTTTTTTAAGTGGTCTGTAAGTCCGCACTGGAACACGGTCGAAATGGTTAAGAAGAGAGAAGAACCTTGAAAAATGAAGTCCCGGGGGATAGTAGTAACCCTAAACGGAAACCAAAGCATAGATAACATTATGAAAAAGTAAACACCGGCTGTATATTTATTCAGGTCTTATGTGTTTACATTCCAAAGTATACCCTCCTCAAGTGGCCGGAGTGATAAGGATCTCCTTATTCCTCGGCTTTGTGAGAGACAGATTCTGGGCCGAACTCTGCTCTCAATCTTACATTTTCTCTCTGAGATTCTTTCTATTTTCGTTTTCTCCATATTACAACGCTAAAAGATACGAATTTATTTTTTCTTTTCTGAAATTATTATTATGAATGTCGTTCCGATTAATATTTAAATACTGCGACGGTTCATAGTACATTACATGTGTGTGGGTATTTCCATTTTCATACTTTCAAAACACTGAAAGTACGGACAGCACTATACCACGTGGACTCATGTTAGACAGCAGCCGGTACGGATTAAAAGACGAGGAGGTCTCGAAGTTATCGTCGTTTAACCCAAAATGGACAGTTCTCGAGATATTGTAGGGAAGGTTTAAGCACTAGAGTTTGGCTGGATCGGAGGGTTGAATTGAACTTCAACTCATTGAGTATAGTCAGGTTATTGACATAGTGAAGAGCTTGGTCTGATGTGGAAAAACGTGATATCGAACCCAAGGAGACCAGCAACCCAAGAACATCGTAAACGTCATATTTTTTATAAAAACGTTTTTTAGTTGGTAACAAAAATTAGATATATTCTTCTCATGGCACGGCCAGCTAGGGGACCTGATTTGACCCCACTAGATTTTTACACATGAGGAACTCTGAAAAATGCAGTGTACAGCACACCCATCGAAACGAGGGAACAGCTCATAGAGAAAATTGCAATCACTTGCAATGACATGAGGAAGAGAAAGGAAGAAGTCCTCCATGCATGTCCTCATGTCGGTTGCTCTACGTTCACGTGTGTATCCAATACGAAGGAAAGTATTTCGAGCATCAGTTGATTTGCAAAAAATGCATAATTGAATGAAGTTTCATTTTCATTGTAATTTTTTTAATTGTGCACACTTTATGAGAAGAAAATATCTGATTTTTGTTACCAATTAATTATGACAATTAAAAATTATGACATGTAGGATGTTCTTGGGTTGCCTCTCTCCTTGGTTTCGTTTTTCAACCATGTAAAGGAGTTTCATTTCTACCGAAACCTTACGTGAAAAGATTAATTAATTTAAAGAAGTAATTTGGTCAATAGAACCCTAAATATAATGGATCTTGTAAAGGAGATTTTACTAAGAGAAATTCTAAAAAATGTAAAAGTAAGTATGTACTTAGATAAGTTTCTAAAATAAGGCAACTTTGGTGAAATTCTCGAAAAAGAGTCACACAAAAAAACTGGTTTTGCTATTTGTTATTCTTTGAGAGGCTAATGTGTATTCAGAAGCGCTAATTTTTCAACGAAAATGTTGTTATATTGAGGAAAATTTGATGTAGTTTGCAAAATAAAGGTCAGATTTGTATTTTAATGACGCCAAAATTGAGAAATTATTATTTTATTTAAACAAAATGTGAATTTAGACTAAAATCACAAAAAGTAAATCTCTCAGTAAAGAGTCAAGATAGAAATCTCGTTCTGGTGGCACTGAACTACGTTCATCCCTGTAACACTCTGTATATACAGCACACAGACATCTGAGAGGACCTCTACAGACATGTTCAACTCCATTTGTATGTTATGCAATGAGGAGGAAAAAACTGCCACCCAAATCAATTTTTGCAGACCTTAATTGGTGCAGGCCAGGACATTTTAGACGGTTTACTAAGATGTCATCAAGTGATTTTGCTTGAGTTTAGAGGAAAATACGAGGGAAAAATATAATAACTTTGTTGGGTTTAGGGAGTGGGTGAATGGTTAGTAATAATGCCCCTGCCCTAGGTCCTATTAAGTTCTCAATTTCTCGTCAACAAGCAGTTTATTATTTTTCATGACTACTTTGTTTCGATCTGTTTTAAAATCTCAAAAGATAAAGTTTCGATTTAGCTCTTCGGACTTGAGAAGGATGATGTTTAAATAACATATGTTAATAATCTTTGTATTAGATAAGTTGGCATTTAGGGTACTTTAATACAGGGTTTCTCAAGTATTTTTTATTTATTTTTGTCTGTTTGTTATTTTTGTACTGGATTAGTTTACATGATTTACTTTGTTAATGAAATATTTTAAAGTGAAATTGACCCTAAGGGGCCCCTTCTTTTACTGGATTTTCTTTTGTAACTGTATTCATAGTTTCCTTTCTTTCAAAATTGTATTGATGTACAGAATCTCCATTTTCAATAATTTATAAATGATGTTTTTATTCCGACCAAACTTATATAAAAACCTATTGATCCTCTTATTTGGTCGGTTGGCATTTACGTTGTGGATTTGTCAATCTTAAACGGTTTCCTCGGTCAGACTTATTAATTGTCGTCAACCTCGAAACAAACATCAGGAGATTAATTTCTTATGAGAATCCCATTAAAACCGTACAATTTGTTTTGAAAACAAGATACTGAATAATTAGTGAGACGGGGGTGAGTGGTGTCGCGTTAAATGAGCACGGCCGAAGGGATGTCGGGAGGGGTGTTTCCCTACTGGCGACACCCACTACAACTAACCTCCTATTAACTTGTTTACTTTATACAACTTTACGGCTTTTTAAACCGTAACCGTAGGCATATGTTTATCCTCCGGGGCATTGGAACTGCGTCCTGAGGTGGATATTTAGTTGATGATGGAATTAGAACCTAAAACTATGAAAAAAATTTTATTGACAAATCACCCTCTGATTCTAAACATAAACCGTTATTAAAATGATAAAAAATGACCGTTTTATCTTAAAAAATCCCCATGATGTTTTTTAAATTTTTTACCATTACTTAACCTCTTCGTAAAGCATTATGTAGGTATACCTCCTTGGACAAGAAGGACACAGGAATAGACTGGATATTGTTGAAATTTTGTTGTAAACGTTGGAATAAAATCTAGCCAAAAAGTAAGAATTATTCACGTTTAACCATTTTTAACACAACTTCAAAAATAACAAAAATAAACCAGCGAGAATAAACGGACCCAGTGATCAGCGTTGATCACGGTTCAACGCACACGTAATATGTAAATGGGGCATATGGAAAATAACCCTCCCTTTTGCTAGGGTTAATAGTTCGTGGAAAAAAACGTTCAACATGTGTTATTTTACCCCGCAGACCAACTACCACAAATTTATTTTCCTGCTTTTAATAAAGCAGGTCAAGTATCTTCTGTGTAATATATAAAGTAGCTAGCATGTCTACTTAGTAAATCAGGGTACTCACGCAGCCATTGTATATTATTAATTGTGTTATTAAGAACAAATAATCAATGCTAATTCGTTATTCCCAAAACAAAGATATATGTGAAACACTGTGTAAATATACAAAAAAAAAATTACTGACCTTCATTATAGATTTCTAGACAGAAATTTAAGGTATTCACGGAATCGTTACATCGTGTTAAATGTGTTATTTAGTGATTAAGAAAAAATAATATATTTTAATAAGTTATTCCGACAACAAAGATATATCAGAAATATTATGTAAAAAAAAATTTACTGACTTTCTTGATAGATTTCTAGACGGAAATTTAAGGTTTTAACGGAACCGTTGTATCGTGTTAAATGTGTTATTTAGCGATTAAGAACAACTAATAGATTTTTAATAAGTTATTCCAACAACAAAGATATATCAAAAATATTGTGTAAATAAAAAAAATTTACTCACCTTCATGATAGATTTCTAGGCGGAATTTAAAATATTCGCGGAACCGTTGCATCGTGTTAAATGTGTTATTTAGCGATTAAGAACAAATACTGGATTTTAACAAGTTATTCCAATAATAAATATATATCAGAAATATTGTGTAAATAAGTTTAAAAAAAATATTTACTGACCTTCCCGATAGATTTCTAAACGGAAAGTTAATGTATACACGGAATCGTGTTAAATGTGCTATTTGCGATTAAGAACAAATAATGGATTTTAATTGATTGATTAATTAAGTTTTATATGAAGATAAGTGCACGAATTTTTGATATTTTCATTTTAAATATTCTGGATAAATTATTTTTTAATAAATGTATTTCTTTCACACAACGCCTTATTGCAAATTATTTGATGACATTGAATTTTATCCAGTTCTACGTCCTAACCCACCCATTATAAGCAACTAATTAGTATGTATTAGTATTGTTTGTTAGTTAGTAGTAGATTAGATAAAAGTACAAAATATTACGCTACTACTCACCACTGACGATGTCAAACAGCAGAAACGCGTCAAGTAGAAACCCGAATGATCTGAAACGATAGAAATACAATATTTTTTAAATTTGCACGTACGTAAAAAAACATATTATTTAGTAACAAATTAAATAATATTTTTAACATAAAAAAGAAATTACGTGTAATAACATGAATCGCATTTCGTTCCGATTGTATTGTTATGGTTAATTGATTGATAATTAAATTGTCCGTTTAATTTTTTTTACATACATATATTTGATACACCTGTTAAATTAAATTAATTTAATGTTAAATATGCTTGTTCGTATATAAATTATAGGGTGAAGGTTTAAAAAAAAGTTGTGGATCTTTCGAGTAATTGGATAAAGTGGCCAGTCAGGACGAAAGTTATGAGAGTTGATCTGTGTGTACTTCTTTTAAAGTGAGTTAAAAGTCAGTTAAACTCGAGTTAATAGTACTGAGGTTGTGAAATGTTCGACGGAAGTGGAAAAGTGGAAACATGGCACCGACGAAATATTCCGGGCCCGAGTTTCCTGTGAGCAGATTTCGGTCGATATCGGGGGCACAGATGTCGAGGGAGGCTCACTTTACAGCTCTCCTGTAATCAACTAGTGACGTTCCAGCCCGCCCAACCTCTAATCCAATCAAACCCCATTTATATTTGATACCCATGGAAGAAGAATCTCAGCAACCGTGCCATCGAACGCTCTTCACCACGGCGCATTCGCATAAACCTATAAGCGTTGTCATTTTTCTTTAGCCTAAAATAAAATAATTACGGTAATTACCTGCTAGTTTTGTCAATTGCCAAGTAGGTATACATTTTAACACAGAATTGAATTTAAAGACTATTTATGCAAATTTTCTTTGACACGGGATGAGTCCAAATAATTACTTATAATAAGTAAAAGTAATTAAATAATTAAATTCAACGTCCAGTTACCATTATACATTTTAAATTGCATATTGGTCAAACTTTATCAATTAAAATACATAAAAATTCTTGGAATCATATCGCACACCCACAAGAAAAGAGACACAACTCAAAAAAAGGAAATTTTACAGAAAAGACGGATGGAAGTTTACTTTTTTTCTTATTAATTAAGCGCATGCAATTACGGTTGTTGGCAATAAAAACTGTCATGATTCATCAATATTGTCATTCCTTTGTCCAAGACTTAAGCGAAGAAATAGTTACATATTATAAAGAAAAGTAATTACATTCAATTAATTAATCTTTATGTAAGGTATTGGCTGAAATGAATAAGTTAGCGTCACGAGGGGGATTCGAACCCACGACCTTCGGCTCAATACGCCACTGCTCTAACCACTTGAGCTAACGTGACTTCATTTCAGTCAATACCTTACATAAAGAATTAATTGAAAGAAGTTATTTGGTCAATCAGACCACGAATACAATAGATTTAAAAAGTAATTACATTCTACTTCGATTTAAAATTTTAAATTATACATTGGTCTAACATTATCAATTAAAAAATAGAATGATTCTTGGAACCATATCGCACACCCTCAAGAAAAATGACACAACTCAAAAAAAGAAAAATTTACAAGTCGTTTCCTTTTTTTACATATTTATTAAGCACAGGCAATTACAGCTGTTGGCAATAAAAACTATCATTATTCATCAATATTGTCATTCGTTTCTCAAAGACATAAGCGAAGAAATAATTACATTTTAAAAATAAAAGTAATTACGATCAACTTCGATTTAAAATTATACATTTTAAATTGTATATTGGTCTAACATTATCAATTAAAGCACATGATGATTCTGGGAATCATATCACACACCCACAAGAAAAGTGACACAAATCAAAAAAAGAAAATTTTACAGGAGAGACAGATAGTCGTTTCTTTTTTTACTTATATATAAAGCACAGGCAATTACGGTTGTTAGCAATAAAAACTATCATGATTCATCAATACTGTCATTCTTATGTACAGGACTTAAGCGAAAACACAAAACTATAAAATTCCAGCTGTATACTCCTAAAAAACTTCCCATTTTTGAGTTGTGACACTTTTATTGTTTATATTGGCTCTCGGTATATTAAATTTGCTTGCTCTAACGATAATGAATGAATGACTCTAAGGGTATCAATTTCTTTGTGATAGTAATAGACAACATACAAACTAAACAAACGAGCATAAATATCCATATAGAAAGTTTTACTAAGATTATTTTTGACCATGTGCTTTCCACCTGGAGTCAGGGCTAATTAGTTAAATTCATTAGATTTCGTGGTCCGATTGACCAAATAACATCTTTCATGAAAATAATTCAGGGTCTCTCATCATTCAAGAACAAACAATTAATCGTTACAAATTAACAAACGAGAATACACAAACAACACTTAACCAAAAACTTGGAATAACTTTCCAGAACACGCTTGCAAATTTAAGATAAATATCTCGAAAGAAGTTTCACGTATTCGTACTATCCAAATAGCACAAAACAAATTAAACACAATGCTACAATTGCAAGTGAGTTAAATAAATTTCTGACGCTAGTTTTGCTTCATAAACCTATTCAAATTTACACTTTGGTTTACTTTCGAGGGTAAATTCTTACAGTGAAAGTGTTTACAAATTTAACAGAAAGAATGACAACGGATCTGCTAACCAGCGTGCCATTGTGCTATTTCAAAAACATTTCTAAGTTTAGGTGTTATTTGCTCAGCTAGAGTTCACAAAATAATAAGAAAGGAAGGCACAAATTTCTTTGATTAAGGACCAAAAAAGTTGGCTAAAATACAATTTCATCAAATGATTTGTAATAAGGTTTAACAGGGGGGGGGGGGGCGTCGGTGGCCGCAACGGTTTAGGCGTTGACACGGCGCCCATCACTGTAAGGTAAAGGTCCCAAGTTCGAGTCCAGCGGTCCTGCATTTGAACCCGACATACTTACAAATGGGCTTTTTTCAAACACCAGCACCCCGAGGGGTGGTTGGAAAAAAAAAGTTTGACCAAATAATCTAGCAAATAGGTCTATAAACTTATCTTTGCGATTAAAGAAAAGATTCATTCCTATAACTAAATTAATCTTTTTCCGTAAAGTTTGGGTTGAAACGAAAAAGTGTCACGAGCGGGATTCGAACCCACGACCTTCGGCTCAATACGCCGCTGCTGCGTGGGTTCGAATCCCGCTCGTGACACTAACTTTTTCAATCAAAACCTTACATACAAAGATTAATTAATTGTAAGAAGTAATTTGGTCAATCAGACCACTAAATATAATGTAGTTATAAATGAAGAACAATAATTCACAAAACCTATTCCAAATCCTTTGTATAACATGCCTGAATACTTTAGCAAATTTAACAGATGAAGATCTAGACAGGTCATCTAAGTATATTGAATCCTAATAGCACAAAAGAATATTAACACAATACTATGATTGTGGATTACGTGTCAGGAAAATTTCTGACGTTAGTATTACTTCATAAACACTTTTAAGGTTTTAAGGTTAAACTAAGTTAAAAGTTTAGGCTTTTTGTAGTCATGTGCTTACAAAATGAACTGAAAAATGGTAAATCCTCTTCTAAGGTTACTTAATCTACATTAATACCATGTTTTATTTTTTATCATCGTTTTCACGAGATAATCAGAATGACACAAGTTAGTCTGCGAAAGAAAGGGGTCAAAGGCTGAGTAAAATAGATTTTACCCAATGATTTCTCATAGGCAATATTAAACGGATCATCTATCAAATTACTCACCCTTGGCATTTAAAAGAAGTTAATTAATATCCAGATGAGTGCAGTGCGAAAGGTCCTAAAGCCTCTTAAACAACGAATCTCCAATCGTAAACGCTATTGTCTTAATCAACAATGCATCACAACAAACCGAGGATAAGGGTTCATCGATCGTTAAAAGTTACAGCCTAATACATATCTGAAGAGGCGTTTAAGAGCTTAGTCGCGTACAATCGCTTCGCATCGTTATTCACCACGGCGACCGAGTAACAGTTTATTGCGCTTACTTTACTGATTATGTGACTACGACGAAATACTTCTAAGTAAGTATAGTAAAAGTAGTAGGAACGGAGGAAAAATCGAAGGAAAATTAGAATCCGCTATTTTAGCTATTTATGGCTATTTATTACTATGGCTATATCCGAAGATTACGTTAATTATCAAAAAATACGGTACTGTAAAATTGGAACGTGTCACTATATAGTAATCTTTTTGGCTAATCCTTAATAACCTTAATACCCTTACCGATTTCCGATTTATAAAAGCTCAAATACATACACGAGTGAATAAAGTTGAGGCTATCACTTCTCGCATTCCACCGGAAATTTCAGCTTTGTAATTGATAATAAATTAATTAACAGCCCGGGGTCCCTCGGTCCAGACATTGAGGTTGGGCTCCAGGAAATACGAACATTTCAACCTCAACAAAATCAGTTCTTAAAATCAAACCTATTCATAGGGATGAGCATCGATAAAAAACATCGATGGTCACCATCGATTAAACATCGGAACCTCACCATCGATGGTGGTACGACCATCGACTCTATAGTGCACATCGATGATTTTTTGAGTACTCATTACTCAAACCACAAATTATTTTCATATGCATACATTTTTATGTGCCACTTTAGAAACATAACCTAATTTTTCAATCTTCGCCATTTCTGAACCTTTATAGGAACTTGATTAATAAAAATTAGGTTTATTTTTAATAACATTTATTAGGAATTATTTTTGCCTTTGGTCTCATTTGTAGTTGTATATAGATCTCTCGGTCCCTTTTAAATAAAAGATTGTTAAAGTATTTTGGGCCTGTGAATTTTATTCAAAATACCTCCTTGTTTTTCTTCCAAACTTTGGAAAACATCCATAATCCACTCAAGCCCAATTCCTTCCTTGCACAAAAAAAAAGATAAAGGTTTAACATGTACGTAACTAAAATCAACCATATCCTTAATTTATTAGAATTAATGTATCCAAATTTGACAATGAAACACTACCACATCTCCGGAACGAAATTTAAAAAACATAGCTCTAAAGCCAAGGTATCCTCTAAACGATTTCTGGTTTTCGAAATAATCTGTCCAGCTTTGGAAAATAATCGTTCAAAAGGAACAGATGTGCCACTAAGGCAACAAATCGAACAACTCCTGACAAGCTCTGATAGGTCACTTTCATATCAGAAGAATATGGGTCATTCCTTATTCACAAAAGTGGAAATTAGGAAAACTTTATAAAACATCGACAGCTCACTATCGATGGTCAAAAAACAACGACACAGAAACATCGATGTTGAAAACATCGAAAATCAGTAGCATACCATCGATATTTTCTAAACTGATATTCTCACTCAATCTTATATACACTCTTTTTTATTTATATACCATTCACTCAGTTAGGAGGTGAAATTCTTAATTATCCTCCATCACCCTTAACACCTATTATAATAGCCTAATGATGGGATACATTCCGCCATAGTCCCTCTCACTAAACATTTACGCCAAAAAATACATTCATTCTGGGTACACAATATTGGCACTGTATACAACCCTGTTTTCTCAAAAAATCGGAACAGAGGGCCCAAATACTCGTTGCCGTGCTCAAACACAATTCTCATGGAATTCTTTTTTTAAATTTAAACTTATTTGTTACCTATACATGATCGTATACCATACACATATGTATAGGTGATTATATTAAACAGCACAACACTAGCACTAATGCCACCACTGTACCGGTAGAATACATGCTGGCACTCAATGTGAATGATTAGGTATCAAGGAGGTCCCGAGGCCATCGTCGGTTGAGGCAACGTGGTGGGTTGTCAGGAAAGGAATGAGGGGATAGGGCTCTAGAAGTATGGTTAGTATGGTTCGAAAGGTTTGGAATCTGGACCGGATGTTCGCTGAAAAAAGGAATGTTGAGGTCTTTGTGGATAGTGAGGTTAGTGACATAAAAAGGTGCTTTGACAATTTGTCTAAGGACTTTCGGTTGGAAGGACTGGACGCGCTGGATATTGGATGGCTTGGCAGTACCCCACAGTTATACTCCGTTAGTCCATGTTGGTCTTAGTAAAGTCTCGTACAGTGTTACCTTTGTCTTAGTTTTCAAAGTCTATTTCGGTCTTAGAAATCTTCGTAATAGTCCAAATCTTGTATTAATTTATTGCTTTTTAAGACTTGTATGGGGATTCGACGTCAGTCTGCTGTCGAGATTTAGTCCCAGTTAACTGACTTGTTTGGAAACTGGTATCTCTTTGTTGTTGATGTTCAATGAAGGGCAAGATTTTCAGCGTAAAAGTACACGGAGTGTATTTTTCTATGGAATCCCTACACGCTCTCTATATGGAGCCAAAGAATTACATAAAAGAAGACAGAAAACGAGATAACAAACAGCAGTTCATACAATAAAAACCCAACATCGCTACCGTGTGCAAGCACAATTCTCATATCGGGTGGTATCCTACACGCTCTCGATATGGATCCAAGGAAGGGCAACATTCAAATAACTGGAACACAAATATTCCACCATCGGCCCTTTCAAACTACACGTTCACGCTAATAAATACATTCACTCTCACGCGCTAGGGACACAGAACTATCAGTACTATGTACAATAAAACAGCCCTATTTTCGCCAAGAATCAGAATAAGGGACTGAAATATTCGTTACCGTGCTCAAGCACAACTCTCATATCGTGAGGCATTCCTGTAAGCTTTCTATATGGATACAAGGATGGGCAACCTTCAATTAAGTGCTACTCAATGTTCCACCATTAGTCTTCTCAAACTACACCTTCACGCTAATAAGTGCATTGACTCAAAATATGTACGAAAAGAGTATGTATCAAGCACTACTTACTATAAAAAAAACTTTTCCCTCTAAAATTCAAACCCCAGTACTCGCTGCTGTGTTCAAGCACAATTTTCATTTCGCAGTGGCATTTCTACACGCTCTTTATACGGAGTCGAAGAATGAACCTTCGATTAAGTGGGCACATCGAGCAACCTTTTTCCGCATGCCGGACACGGGTGAGGATGACCTTCTACGAGACAGATCCTCTGAGGGCCATCTATTGACTCTTGATACGTGAAAGCTTTTCTTCCAATCCGGTCTACCGACGTTCTTTTAATTATATTTTTTATTGTATTTTTAGCTTCAATAGTACCCTGTTAATACCCTTAGTTTATATACTATTTCATTATGTATTTGACTACTTTTTATTTTATTTTGACAAGTTAAAACATTTAATTTCATCCATGATTTCAAAGATCTTTTCATTTATATTATTGATATGTTTGTGCTGTTTATGTTTTATGTATTGATTTATACAAATTCAACCATTCGATGAGTGGCTTTTGGACGAGAGGCACAGTTAGGTTTATCATTCACCTAAGTGCTGAGAAAGTAGAACGTATTTTATTTCACTATTTTATAGAAAGTAGTGAAGAACGCAAGGATGAAAAGAGATAAATCGTGACAATGCTTTGTATAACAATGAATGTTGCCGGACAAGACTTATTATTCTCATCGCATGCAGCCAAGTCCCATAGAAAAACGGCTTCTTGTTTAGTCATCAGATTATTTGTTTATTTTTAAAGGAAGAAAGGCGAACGAGTTAATTTCTAGAGTAATCAACATGTCAACCTGGACAAATAGTTACAATCGTAATTCAATCGTTACAACGTGGTAAATGTGATATTGTGTTATAAAGATATGTAATATAAATGAACGCTCTTTTGAGTTTTTACTTGCTAAATGTGCTAATTTGTTCGGAAAGGTTTTTCAAGGGTTATAATTGTTATCTTTTTATCTAGTAACTCGTCGTTGTCTCTGAAGGTTCTGCGATGTTCTTTGAATCAATGTTTTTATTGTCTTCCAGTCTGTCCAATGTGTGTGTCTCCGTATTGACGTATGATGCTGTAAACACCGTTATTGTCTTGCGGGTCAGCTGTGTCTATGTTTCTTTTAACCTGGGTTACTGTTGGTCTTTAGTGCTGTTTTTCGTCCGAGTTTTAAACAAGTTCGTTAGTCTGAAGGTTTGTTTTCCACTTTACGTGAATGGTGTCCATTTTTTGTTTACAGTTATTTGTTGTAATTTTCAGTGTTGCGTGGGATTGTTTTTAGCCTATGGATCTTGTATCATAGTGCTGAAAGTTTGTATTGGTTTGGGAGGTTGAATTGTGCGTTTATGACTTCGGTTGCAATGTTTTTTTTTTGTATTATATAGAATTCGATCTTATTGTTGGTGACTGTCTGTTGTTGGACCCAATGACATATAAACCCTGTTGAACAAAGTGACAGAATTCCTCACTGAAGATGGCGCAAGAAACGCCCTTGAGTAATTCAACAAACCCGTGAGTGAAGACTTACTCAATAAGTGACCCTATGCCGGTTCGGCATGAGTTCACCGATTCACAGACCAACTCACACATCATCTTTATAATGCTTTATTTTGAACAGACTCACCATATGAATTGCTTTTTTTTAATTAATACGCTGTTGGGGATATCGAGGTGGCAAACAGCATACGAAATTTACTGTTGATGAAATATTGGTCTATTGTTTTGGTTTACCTGAAATGGAATTTTAATTCTCTAATCAATTTTTATTTGATGCTATCTCAGCCGTAAAATGGCCAGGGCGGTGAGCGCCGGATTTGGTCCATTGACATTGATGAGGGGTCAGCAGTCTCCCAACAACGACCAGTGGATAATTGTTGACGCTTTGAACCCTTATCACGGGATAAAAAAAAATTAATTAACTTCCATCTCGCCATACATACTCGAAAAAACAAAAAACAAATAAAAAACAACGTTTCAACTGATTTGAAAACCATTGTCTAAGTTAACATGTGTCGATTAGATATCTTGCATTTGAAAATCTATTAAACACATGCATAGCTTGTTTCAAAATTTTAAAAATTAGATTTTTGGTTAATGATTCGAAATCTTAATTTACTGTTCTGGCCGTCCTGAAGAGAAGATGGAGAAGGTGGCAAAGGGTGGGTCCAAACAAAAGAGAGCTTCGAAAACCACTGGGGAATTCAAAGACACGGCCCGCCAATTGATGAACGTCGAGGGGGCCATCGAAGAACTAAACAGGGAAGCAGTCCGCCATGAACACCGGGGTCTTGTCGCCAGGCAGGGTGCCAGGGATCTTTTGGAAGAAGGGAAAAAGAAAGAAGCGAGAACTTTGATCGAACAGGTAAAATATTCGGTTTAATACAATTTATATAAAATTTATCTAAATTTGTCCCTCTTTCTATTTCTCGTAACGTTTCCGATCAAGGCCAAACGATTTTACATTATTTCAAAAACGTATCGAATAAAAAATCAACTGTTTCAATTTTTAAAATAAAAATGTTAACATGGTAAAAGTTTAAATCGACATTCTCTTTTAAAACTTTATCCAACTGAATCCAATTCTGTGCTGACTAAACCTTTCATTATAGAGCGTATGGGTCTATCCTTTCTCTGTAGGGGAGTGTCTTAAATTGCCCTGCGAGTTCTTTATTTCCAAACGAAGGTTTAACAATGTTCAGAATCATTTATGTGATAAGATTTTATGAGAACTGTAGGATGATGAGTAGATAATTCGGCCTGGTCCTCCTATTATCACTGGTTTGGCAGATCAAACGCGAGTCTGCATCAATCTCTAGTTCTAGGTTTATGCTTTATTTGTTGAGTCGAGTTTGTTTTAAAAATTTTTTTGGGTTGTTGATCGACTTATAGGTTGGCTTTCCAAGAGTTTTGGGACTTCCTAGATGACAAGCCAGTTTGCCCGACGCGTTTCTAGCTGACATCTATCGTGGCTCTGACCAAAATTTGATTACATTAACTATCAGTGGAAATCTACCGCTGAAGATGGCGAAATGCAGAATCGCGCCTGATTGACTAATACAGCGAAGATAGTAGTAGGACCACACTTTTTAAAAATACAAGTCTACCACCTCACCGAATTGAGTTGAACTTATTTTAAAACGCACTCACATTTATGTCTATGAGCTGTAGCAGATTACCCCCCCAAAAAAATTCAATACAAAACAAAGGTTTTGTGGTTTAATGGAATTTTTTTGGGAAAAGTTTTGGTACTATCGTCTTTTGCCATCCTAGTCTGAGTACCTCAGAGATGTCTGGTAGGTACAATGATACAAAACAAATCTGGAACTGACGAAACGAAATACAAAAACACAACAAAAATACTTAAATTCCAATAAAATACATACACACCAAAATATCTAAACGAAATGGGCAACCCTACTTCATACTCGCAGAATCATTGTTATAATACTTCGAACAGAAATTCTTTTCCTTGCTTCAGTATTACTTGACTTTCCTAAATTGACAGCACATTTCAGATCGACAACAGAGATAACTAAGAACTACAGGCTGATAGTTAATGTAAATCAAATCAACTGCCCATCCAGACACTAAATGACACCATACAAACAAATGATTTCAAACACGAACTACCAACACTAAAAACATAGCATAAAACAACTGCTAAAACATAAACACAATAAACTGGTAAATGAAAGAAATACATACATTAAAACGTACATTAAAAGGACCGACTTTAGATAATAAATAAAATGACCAGAATGTTCTTCAGTAGTAACTAAACTACTACCTTGTTCGCTACTTTCCACGTTTTAAATGTGTACAAATCATATCAAACTGTCTTTTTTATTTACTTCAGAGTACTAAGTTTTAGGTATGGTCGAAAAATGGACGCACTGTATGAAAAGAAAGTTTTTTCTACAATTTAGGTTTTTCATTATATTTTAATTGTTTGGCAGATGCTGTCTGAAAGAAATTACGTTGTAGCCTGCGGTGTCACGTCGAGGAGGATCAAAAGGCTGTCGGAGGAAATTAAGGAGACCGCAAAGAGATCTGGTGGTATAACAAAGAGGGTTGCCAAAGCAATAGGTGATGTTGAGCTTTCTATTAAAGGGAGTGTTCTCGCCGAAATCGAGGAGGCTTTAAATTCCCTTGAGGCGGCGCTAAACCCACAACTCGAAAGGGCTTCTAGCGTCATCGAGCTGGTTTCGACTGTCAAAGCCATCGATATCGACCAGCTACAAAGAGAGCTGGAAGGAGAAATCTCCGTCCTTTCCAACCTTTCCCTGGGCAAGAGCATGTCGAACAGCGGTGGCTCTCGCTTCAACACAAGAAAGTACAAACTTGAGAAGAAACTGGACAGGGGGGATACCACCCCCGAGGTGAGGAATATCAAAACCGATTCCGAAACAGAAGAAGACACTCAGAGGACCGCGGTCGAAGAAGAAGACGAGGAAGACGACGACGACGAAGAAGAAGCCGAGGACGAGGAAGACGAAGAAGGAGAAGAAGACTCCGACGAAAGCGAAGACAACGCAAGGGATAGAAGTGATTCCGAAAGCCAATCGGAAACTGACTAAAAAATAACTATCGTTAAATAACAAAATTTATTTTCTTTAACCATGATCTATGTAAGTAAACTTGTTTGTTATGCCATCATGTAATATGTAGTTTAGTTATTTCGACTGCTCTGCCGTGGTAAGTAACACCAGGGATTGCTGCACGATTCTTACCAGTCCGCTGAACACAACTAATTTACATATTTTCTTGAATACTTCAGAGTAATTTTTATATTTTTTTTTCTTTGGATTATGGAGTTCTAGTTTAACGGAAAAAAAGAGCCCCAAAACTGGTTGAAATAAAGTTTTACAACAAAGACACCCGCTGAGGATAAAAGCCGGGGAGGAGGCAGTTGTTATACTCGCTTCTTTAGGTCTTTCGCAAGCTCCGATAGAATGTTCATGTATATGCGGCCATCAACACCCTTAACCCCTTGGGTCTAGCTCATTAAAACCCCTTTGGCACCCGCTCCACACCCCAGCCACAAGTAAAGCACCGCCGACCCAACTCGGCACGCCCTCTGCAATGTTTTTAATATTTGTCTATTAAATAATTTTACCTTAGATAAAGATGGAGATGTAATATAAAATGCGGGGTAATTTGCATAATGCGCCCTTTGAGAGCTATTGTATTCATTGTTTTGTACCTATAGCACACCAATGAGGCCAATTCATCAAGGAATTTAATTATTAGATCCGTGTTAGTGGGTATATTTCTTTTACAGTTACGTTGTACACCCCAAATCTTTCTTCCTGCGGATATGTGTAGTAGTAGTCTGGTAGTAGGTACAATGGGGGTGTTGAGTGATGTCAATCTTCCTCAAAGCCCACTCAGGCGGCAGTAGCCCGTTAGCAAGCCTGTTAAGCTTCTATGAGTCTTCCTACGAGATTTCTCCCTTTTCTACTTAAACTGTCGTCTAATCTTTGATATCTGCATTTGCCTAGTCAGAGTCTTTGGTGATCGTGCAATTGGGTCCTCCGATAAGGTTTAATTTTTCAGGCGACCCGAACAATTCCCAGTCCGGAAGTCCACAAGGGGAGGGATTTTTTAATATATTAAGTCTTGAACAACGTCTAGCAGTTTTACCACCTCGACCTTTTGCCTATGTAATGTACCAAGTATTTGCCGCGATCTATCACAGGATGTAAACTTTCATTTAGATAAACGGTAGGGAGTATTTTGCGTGTGAGAGAGAGTAAAGGACACGAATTGGGAGGATTACTGTATCGTTAGCAAATATCAATATTTAGGTCTGCCGTTTATGCTAAAATGCACCCTTGAAGAACACCTTTGTAGGATAGAGTCGAAGAGGTTGCGGTTCAGTTGCTAATATGGAAGAAATCAAATAGATACGGTTTTAGGATGAAATAATACTCACGAGAAAGAATGGACGCAGTGAAAAAAGTCTTGCACTATTGGATTGATGTTTTTTCCAGTCATTGCTCCGGCACCATTGGTTTTTGGTCTATGGGTATAAACATAATACGGGAAGTTTCGAACTTAATGAACTCCTGTCTACATTTATTCAGGGGTTCTGGTATCACTGAGTCCAGCTAGAGAAAGAACAATATTTGGTTTTCTATCGTCGAAGATGTTTCTTTCTGCACTAGAGGAACTTACAACCGTATTTTTTTAAGAGCAAGGATCGTCGTAAAGGAAAATCTAATATTTGCAATTTTGTCATATAAACTATTTTATATAAGATTATGTTTAGTAAGTAGGAAGTTTAGCGGATCTGCTAGTCCAAAAGCTTGTGTTTATAATTTAAGGGCATTCTTTTTTATCGACATCTATACTGCACATGGGACTGGACCGGAAGGCTCTTATAGCTATTCTGAGTCCGGTGTTTGATGGTATTGAAAAGATTTATTTTCTTTCCTACGGTACAACTATAAGCATTACAACCGTACTAAACTCTTACATCTAGATCTACGAGCATAAAGGACAATTTCGAATAATAAGACACCTTTTTCCCGAGAAAGTTGAAAAGCTCTATTACTGCAAGGAAGGAAAACATTTTAAATAGGTGGTATTATTAAAAATAGACGGAGGTAATAGATTTTTTTTGTCCTTATCCTCTGATATCCGGTCACAGTGATTTTACAGGTGTGACGGACGCACCCGCCACCACGATCCCAGACGGCCTCAGCCGGAGGAGGAGGGTTGATCCTTCATACCCTATTTTTGTACTGTGACCCCTTCAGGTATGTGGATAAAAACCATTACATTTAGACTGGCAAGGAAATGTCGACATCCCCAAGGTCCCTCACCCGTCGGGCCCAGGCCCCCAACTACCATGGCTACCCGCCCCCACCTGCAAACTGACTCAAACCTACAGTTTACACTCTCTCAAAAAATTGGACCTATGAGCTGATATGCTGATAAACATCTAAACATCCTATTGCCACAATTGTGTTAAAATCGAAATATTTGACTATCTCCTGACACATAAAAGATTGAAAAAGCCGTTGCCTTTGGTCACCATGTTCCATACATAGAAAGAATCCATGTCTTCGTACATGTCGCATATGCAGCAGTGGGGGGATGGTCTCAAGCCTATTCTATTCACATATGCCCCGCATATAGGTAATACATTATATTATAAAAATTGATAAGCAAAAAAATGGCTTCTTGAGTTCTGGAGGACTGATCTCTGGTGGCTTTTCCAGCCTACAGTCTCAAAGATATCTACAATATTTTGAACATATATTTCGCAACCATTTCCTTCAGATAGGGTTAAGTATTTAAGTTCAAATTGTATTGAACGATCGAAAGCGTGCTATTTAGGTCTAACACCCGGTTGCAGTAAATGAACGGTTGAAACTTGGAGATAGATACAGGGGCAAAAATTTCGCTTTATTTGTTATTCTCTGCTAATAGCTGGCTTCTTTACATGGCAAATAGTCTTGCATGCAACCCCTTGCCACAAACCCCGGATTAAAATAAGACTGCCTCCCTTCAATTACTACACCCCAATGGTGTCGCTAATCCCACCGGCCGACCTGTCCTGCTCCCCTTTTTCAGTCATGTGCAGATTCACAACTCCAGGATTTCTACAAGTGGGTCAGAACATTTTCGTTCATCAAGGATTGTTGGTCGATCTAAAAGTTAAGTGCGCTACAAGTTAATTAGTCTTTTTGCTTTTGTGTGCCTTTCACAAAAAGTACAGATCAAACTGTAAAGAGAAAAGTTTAAGGGAAAAGCTTCAAAATTATAAAGCCAAAATAAAATGTTCTACATTTTTCTGTAGTAAGTGGAAAATTAACAAAAAGGTTAATATTGAGATAAGAAATTACGGTAATTCATTCGGAGTAAACGGAACGTTAAATTGAAAATGCCATTTCAATAAGTAATGCTCTACTAAGTCGGATCAAAGGGCTAACTTGTGAGAGACTTCCAAAGGCGGCCCTGTTCCCTTTCTTGATTGGTTTTGCCGACTTGGCTAATGCTCGGGAAGGATTAGAATCTCATTGAAAGAAAATAAATGAGCCCTCCCCCAATTCGCTATTCACGGACCGCTCGGAAAACGGATAACGGTCTTGAAAAAATCTAAAATAAGAAAATTTGGCAGAAAATTGATATTAATATCCCACTCTTAAAAACTCCTCGGGGATTTTTGGAGATAATGGGCCACACAGTGATATACATATTTGAGTTTATTTTTAGACCCAGATAAGTCGAGATTACATCGAACGCAAAAAACTCTACGACAGAAAACAAGGACGTCTGACCTTTGAATATACACCCTATAAAATTAATTTCTTTTATATCCAATAATGCAAATTCAATGATTGTCAGGACACCAAAACAATGGTTCCTCCAACTGCCAACAGAAGATTGAAAGGAAAGAGACAAGACATACACGACGCGCTTTTTAGTAAAATATTGTCAGAACGAATATTATACATATTATTATTATTAAATTAAATTCACCCTTTTGCAAATAAAATTGACCATTTTGTATATCAATTTCATCTCTTTCCAAATTAAATTCGTTTTTTTACATCATAAATTCACAAATCAAATTCACCTTTTTGAAAATTAAATTCATCCTTTTACAAATTAAATTGACTCTTCCGCAATTAAATCAAATTCATAGTTTACAAATTAAATGCAGTTTTTTGCTAGTTAAAATACTTTTTTGCAAAGCAAATATATCATTTTACGAATAATTATTCACCATTTTGTAATTCAATTTCATCTTTTTACAAATTAAATTCACTCTTTTTACTAATCAAACTCACTCTTTTGCAAATTAAATTTTGCAATTTAACATAACTTTTTGCAAAACATATTCACACTTTTTCAAATTAAAATCATCATCTTGTAATTAAATTCATTCCTTTACAAATCAAATTTCCTTTTGGCAAATCAATTCACTCTTCTACAAATCAAATTCAGTTTACAAATTAAATGCAGACTTTTTCAAATTAAAAAAATTTTTCAAATCAAATTGATCCTTTTGCGAAATGAATTCACCATTTTGCAAATTAATTTAATTTCTTTACAAATTAAATTCCCTTCTTTTTTAATCAAATTAATTCTTTTAAAAATTAAATTCATTCTTGTGCAAATTAAATTCACTCGTTTTCAAATTAAAATAGCTTTAAATTCCCTCCCTTATTAATAAAATTTAAACTTTTGCAAATCAAATTAATCCCTTTGCAAATTAAATCCACCCTTTTACTAATTAATTTTATACTTGTGAAAATTAAACTTACCTTTTGCCAATGAATTTAATCTTTTTGCAAATTCAATTCAATTTTTACCAATCAAATTCAAATTTAATTAGAAAAAAGAAGAATATGATTTGCAAAACGACGAATTTAAATTTTTAATGAGTAAATTTGATTTGTAAAAGATGAATTTAATTTTCAAACGTGTTAATTTGATTAGTAAAAGGATGAGTTTCATTTGATAAACCTGTATACATTTTAAATCTACAAGGACTACTCTTTTTATCACCACATTACATTTGAGTACCTCGCGTAGATAGCACCTACTGATAGTAAATTCAAGGGTCAAAAGTTAATAATAAACGGTAAAACTTTTGACTTGTTTATACA